ACTCTCTCAGCTCAGTCGTGTCCGTATTTTCCAAAAAAAATCCGAAGTTGTCGATACTGGATCAGTACCCATGAAATATCATGTGCAATTGTAGAACATTTTCGGTACCCTTCCCTAGAAAGTATGTCAAGCCGGTGAACTTTCCCTTGCTGCAACCATGACGTCAATTCCACACCGTCGAGCCGCCACCTTCTAAGAACAGCGCTGTGGCAGGTGAGCGACGATAGCAGCCCGCAAAATCAACATCGGTTAAGGACACCACTACGTCAGATTTGTTAACCGCTTAATCACTAGCTCCGCAAAAGGTGACACGACCTTCGCAATCATGCCTCGGTCAGGACGCATCTGAAGAAGATTATATCATTCTCTACGCTGCCAAAGGCTTCCGGGTTAGCACTCGCAGCCTCGCGGCAAGGTCCTGATGTAGCCATTCGAGAACTCCTAGTCGCTTCCAGACTCTCGGCTACGTAAAGGTGCTGACGCAGTGGATCCCTCACACCTTAACAGAACCTAAACACGCGGTTCTCCAGTTTCCCATCCATCGGCCTCTGCCCTCATCTGAAAGAGTTCCTGCATGATCTGCTTTGATGGAAGCTTCGGCTCTCTCTGTTCAAACTCACATGGTGTTGTTTAATTTCCTCGAGGATAGACCCGTCTGAGCAAGTCACTTTAAACATGCACCGTGAGAGTTCCTCCTTCACAAATTCCGAGATGCGGGCACGTCCGTTCATGGTCACGAGCGGGCTATATTGCTAAGGAGAGTATATGAAAAATGAAAGGCCAGATATCATGTCCCGCCATCTATAGGCTTTCGTGACTGGGAACAGTTTCACTAACTTTGATGAAATAAGTCGGGAGGCCGCTCTCTTTGACCTTATTCTCTTGAGTGTGGGAGAATGGGATGCCTTGCCTTCGCATTAAGAGGTGCACTGAAGATAACGGAGAATATTCGCAAACTGATAGGACTTTTGATAAGACTTTCTTACCAACCTAATCTGTTCATATGCTTAAACAGAGTGAATCTGTCTAAAGGACAAGTTATTTTAGGAAGCCTTGTCCCTTTTTGGTGACAAGTTCATGCATTTTGGAGGAGATGAAGTGGAAGAGGACATGCATAAATGCTGGTTTGTTTTATGAAAGTCAATTCTTCAGCAAATACTATTGAGCGGTCTAAATCGTTGGACAAATGACACCGTTACCAACCAAGGGTTAGGTCTATGGCCCGCGACCGCGAGCACTGACAGATTTCTGGCATTTGCAACCAAGGATCTATACCTGTACGCTCAGAACCCGCGGTAAGGTTTAACTGCGAGAACAAAAAGAGTGGTTGGTGGTCGCAATCGTTCGCTTTTGCTGTCCCAAGCCCTCAGCGATTTCCTCGTTTCATTGTGCTGGCCATTGCTGCGGCCAGCACAATGCTACGCTTGGGCATAAGTTTTTGGTCGAATTGACGCGCCACACATTCCACTTTCATTCAAAGCTGCAGGGGGAGGGGAGGAATGTGGGGATGTGACAGAGTACTGTGAACAGTCGATCTACAAGTTAATCTGTTCTCCCAGATCTAATATGGTGCCAATGAAAGTTAAAACTATGGATGGTCTGATGGGCTCCCTATTACGGCACGGTCAAAGTACAAAAAATGATCGGGGTGGAACCAGCTTTTGAAGGCGGAGTTAGCTTACCGTTGCTGGGCCGCCGTGCTTTCATCAAGCGCTTTCGAGCCGCAAAAACTGGTTGTCCTCTGGGACCACGACTCCACCATCTTGCACTCTGGGGGTTTCTGTATTTTGGTAGATGGCGGACGCTGTCTTTAATTTAAATCTATATTTATTCATTGACAACCTTTGTACTCGTGCCATTGCGTCCCAGTACGAAGTCGACATTCCAGGGAGAATAATCCGGAAGTTAAGAAAAGGATGGAATCTATGGGCATCGAATCTATCCACAGCCTGCTTGATTACTACTGGAGGACGTGAGTTCCAAAAAAACTTGGAATCATTTTCATTATCATGCAGCAACAAAGGAGGCCCGCGCTTCTTCAAAATACCATACCAACTGCTGTAAAGCTTTTGTTCATGGTCTTCGGAAAATAGTTCTCGAACAACACCAGAACACAGTTGTTTTCATTAGTTAGCCTAGACCAAATGCCAGCGTATTGTAAGATAGCGTGCTGATTAAATTCAGCTGTGTGTCTTTCTGTCAAGAACGTCACTCTGCTCCAAGTGTCTTTACAAAGTGGTTTTACGCTGGTTTCACGGGGTAGATCTGATCAGCTCCATCTAATGCTACAATGAAATGAGTTTCAGACTGTTTGGACTCATCGACAAAGCTCGTCCTGGAACGAAAAAAATCGTCTGGCAAGAAGTACTCGATATGAAAGTGAACGTGAGCGTTTATGAGACAGGCTTTCTTTATACTCCCCTCCTACTTTGCAAACCTTGGATCTTCTCTGTCGGAGGCCCAAGTACGACAGCAAGATGACGCCAAATAGGAATCACAAGGTGCCAATTGGCACGCTTGTGAAGAATGTATGCCGCCGACTTCCTCAGTGAGCCTTCCGCGCACCGCTGACATTATGTGAGCCTGCCAGCGCTCAAAGGAATTTTCCTATCTGCTGGTTTCATGTATAAAATACGCTTTGGATGCAAACAGACGAAACCGTCGAATGCGCCCTAGCTGAGATTTTTTATGACTTCCAGTCGACTTTCACGCTAAGGTTTCCAGAAGAGAAAGTTCCGTTGGCGAAAAACCTCATTTTTGACACCTTCGTTCAAAATGCTGTCAAAAGTTATGGATCTGTTCGGGACTTCCGTTGAGTGGAGGGATGCCACCCCTGTGGTAACATATCGACGTTGGTTTGGCAAATTTACGAATGACAATTGCGAGCTAGAAAACATATACCGCTCTTGGTCAAAACCTTTGTGAGCTTGTGAATGTCTACAGCACAGGAAAATGCTACCAGAACGAGACCAGAACGACCAGAAGAATTTTCATATCTTCCATTTCCAACAAGAAAACAAGGTTGTTCAACTGAGTAGCCCCCAGTAGACAGGTCAAACTCTTTCAGCTACATGAAAGCGCGCGGCTTCAATCAGCGTTAAGTCGTCAACTGCCCTATAAAATTAGTGTAGGCCACTCGCTGTACTTTGCAGCCTTCGTTCAGTGGACTATCACCTTTTTATTGCTCATTCGAACCAAATGAGAAGTGCTGGTTGCGAGAGCGAATGCAACGCAGGGCAGATCACTGGTTGGGGGTTTTGGTTGAGTCCGTACGACCCCCACCCCCTTCGCCCCTCTGGCCCTGTGCCCATCCTCATCGAATTGTCGAGCGGGGGAGGAGCGAGAGGGTAAATAGCCCATGTGAAACCGGAAAAGCCGCGAGAAAAATACGACCCCCCTTCTACTGATTCTCAGGTTTTCCCCAACTTCCTGCGACTTTTCCAAAATTCACGACAGTTTCCCTACTTTTACAAGCAAGTGCGACACCCCCCTCCCCTTTTACAACGTTCGTGAAGCGAGAAAAATCAACTATCAAAATAAATTCTCAGCATAAATACGACCCCCCTCTCCTGGCGGCCAAATACGACCCCCCCCCTGTTGGGGATTCCCCAACAACGATGTGCCTTAATGCAACGCCTTCTTTCCGAGAAAAATGCAGCTCTGTAAACGCTTTCAAAGAGCTCTGACGCCTCAAAATGATACGTTGCTTTTGGTCTTTTCATAATTGGGTGGATTTTCACCCCCTTTAGTAGTGAACCAATTAAAATAAAAAAACAACCAGTTATAAGACAGCTAGATCATAGTTCCTGAGCCAATCTGATTCACGGTCAGATAGATTGATAGTTGTCAAACCAACGATCAATGAATTCAAAGTAAAATTGACCGATGTGAGCAGTTCTATGGAATGAATGGGCACACTGGACAAGCCCTATAATTTAGGTTTCGGATGCCATCGCCCACGTGTGGAAGGGTAACAGTATAGCAGAGATCAGAGAGACCATGGCCAATGTAACCGCTGCCGGACATCACGCAATTCTGTCCAGTTGCTGGTATGAGTTTACGCTTCACACAGAGTTTGTCTCGATTAAAGGAGTTTCACGTTTTCTGCACTTGTGTGATTTCATGGGGATATCTAGGAGTATTTCACCACTTACCCTTGTGACAGGGTATCGAGCCAGTCGTCGATTGGAGAGTGTTCCTCTCCAATCGACGACTGGCTTCCACACTTGGTGCTGCTGTGTATAGAGATGAGCCAAACTCCCTGATCCAATAGTTCCAGTGGTTTCACAAGCTGCAGCTCCCTCAAGCTGAGTTCAGGTGGACATTCGAAACACACCTCGCCCTCAAGATGATACGCTCTCGCTTCGGAATATCGGCGTCGTAGAAGATTGCTCTATATGTAATTTGGAGCATGATCCCTATGCACTTACCTCAGAAGCCCCCATGCCTCAGAAGCACCCATGCTAGAGTCGCAGTGGCAGAAGAAAAAAGATTGCAGAGAAAGTGCTGACGTGCCAAAAAGAAATTGTTGTCGGCATAATCTGCGTCAAAGAAAGTAAAGAAAATCAATTAAGCATCAAGCATCGAGAGAGAAGTTTTCACCTTGGGCACAAATTGTTCACATTCTTCCTCTCAATATTGCTAATTGAAGGTCATGGTTGAAAGACAAAGCTCCGCGAATTAATGACCCATCAGGGCTCCCGACTTTCACGCTTCTCTGTCTAATAAGCGAAATTTAGAAGCTCTCTTCCAGTGCGCAGAATTTCAGGTATCTTGACATATAATCAAATGGAGACCCGATTGGGGAACATTCTACGATTGTGATCCGACAGACTTCCACGGGACCGACAAGCAGAAGGTGGGTCTTAAAGTTTTTTTATTTGCTCTCCGAGGTCTTTGTGATGGTCCACGCGCTCACTTCATATAAAACTTCACCTTGCCTAGAAAAAATCCCATACATCTATAGCCCCGTTTCCTAACACTTACAATCCACGTTGATCTTGCGATCTTCATCTTGCGAGTGAAAGCGTGGGTGGAATGAACCCCGCCTCCCAAAGCATCGTGCTCGACCCTCACGCAAAGCTGACCGTATTCTTACTATCTTGATAATCTTCTCTGCTACTTGGAAATTGTGGAATAGATTGCGATCAAAAGGCATTGAGCTCGATGGTTTCCCCACTCGGTCCTAAAATGCTAGTAGGGGCTATGTAGCGGGAAAATGGCGAAAGAACGGAGTGAAACGGTCAAAATCCGGCGAAGAAAAAACCTCCGTTCTCAGTGACCTTGTAACATCGATTATCGGAAACGAGTTTCCCATAGGCCATCTTTACGCACTCCGCTGCTCGAAGATACCCATGTATGCATGGCAAGCAATCACGGCCCGCTTCAACGCAATGCCCTTCGCTTCATAATTTGCTTAGCAAATGAATGAATACGAGCGTCAGGAACGGTCGTCCATTTGTGGGCGGCGGCGTGGCGGGCGTTTGGGACGTAAAGTTGTGGCTCGATAGGGCCCTTATAAGGGCACCTTCCTCGGGGAAACCGCTATGCAGCGCCTGCCTAGGGTCGCGGAATTCGATCGCCCAGGAGCCTTGATCCTACTCCTCTTCGGAAATTTATCGTGCCAACTGCCTTTAATGAAGATGACAAAAAAGCTGGCTGTCTCCTTGCACACAATCGGCCTGCTCGATACTTTTGAAACTGTAATACTTGCTTCTCGAAATTGGCTCTAACATAAACTTCCATAGTTCTAATACAACCCGTGCAGTTCTACTTCTCGAATCGTTCACCTCATAAATCACGTTCCAGCAATCGCTGAGAATTCAAGAGTTGAGTATACCGCATCATTTCAGGCTCTCGTTTTGGGAGGTGAAGCAGCTTTGTGGGGAGAATACGTGGACGGGACGAATCTTATGTCTCGCATGTGGTGAGAAATGCCTCATGTACATATACTATACTTGTAATACTATATTTATACTTGGGCAAATAAACTCACTTAAGGCCCCGTGCTTCTGCTGTGGCTGAGCGGCTATGGTCTAATCCAGACGAGACGAAATCGAAGTGATAAGGCTTGGCCACGTCTTCACGAGTTCAGATGCAGAGTGATGAATCGAGGCTTTGCTGCGTTACCACCGAATGCTCCTGACTACTGTCCATTTGAGTGGAATCCAGTATACAAGGAGCTTTGAATGGTTATATTGATTTATGATGACTATGATGATTTGAAAAATTTCAATTGATCCGATATTTAATGAATACGATTTGGTTTTTCAAGTGTGCACGTGAAGATGGGAAGAGAGGGGTCTTTCATTAAGTTGTGGTGGCGGAACACCCAACTGAGAAGGTTTGGATCCGACAGCAATGAGTGAGCCTTGGAGAACTTCTTAAGATCACGCGTGCTGCCTTTAAAGACCACCGCTTCATCACCGTAATCAGGAAGAAAATTTACTATGTCGCCGCGAAATCATGTTCCTTTTGGAGGAGTTGCGACAACGAAACTTTAAAAGTACAAGCTCTCACCTGAGTATGAACTTTCCAATGAGCCATAGATCTGAGGCCTCCAAGTACAACGGTACTTGAAGGCCTCTCTGGAAGCTTCCCTGGTAAGCGCAGATGGTACTGTGGCGAGAGGTGTCAGTGAAACTGGTGCAGTTTGTGGATCTGCTGCTGCTGCTAGAGCCCGGGAGCTTTGACCCTTTAGAGCGGTCGATTGCTTGATGTCAGGCAAGAAAGATTACCTATAAGATTCCCGCGAACCTCTCCTTAAAGACAGCTCTCGCGATAAAAGTGTCCATGTGATAGCTGCTTGTTCAATTTAAATAAGATAGGCCTGGATAAGTAATTCTCGAAGAAGAAAAAAGCAAGAAGAGCCCTCAGAAAAGACCATGAACAACACAGCTGCTCGCCTGTCAAGTGCCTGCGTCTCTGTGCAATCCTCTTCACAAATCATTTTCCCTATCTTCCGTGTAGTGAAGATCCATCCAATGCAAAGAAAAGAATACGAAAAACAGCAAAACAACAGGGGCGAAAAGAGGCTATCAAAATAAGAGGAACTTTCAAAAACTCGGGCGTCGAAATTTGGGGGTACGGTTAGCGCTGCTTTTAGTGTCTTGTCGAGTTCCACCACGAAATTGCATTCGCCTCTGATTCTACGCGTTTTACCTTGCGCAGATGTGTTGCAGTCGCTGTAATGTGTCCGAATGTAATAAAGGAGAGCAGAATCGTGATCACGAGCGCGGTCAGCAAAAAGGACATGCAATTCCGATTAATGCCCGCCGCCCCAACAAAGAACAACTGAGCGGCCCTCCGTCGGAGGGCATCTAGCAAGTGGGCGGTCCAACTGAGCGGGCGTTAGAACTAGAACTTTCAGCGGCTGTAGCTCGCTCCTCGCTCGCTGTGGAGTCGCGAGAGTGGGATAGTCTCTAGTCAGGGGCTGGACTACTTGCACAAGGAAGAACGACCATGAATAACTTGAGCGCGAGGGCTGTCTTTAAACCAGAACACATCATTGTTGGGGATTCCCCAGCAGGGAGAGGGGTGGGTCGTGTTATATTTGCAAGGAAAATTTGTTTTAGTAATTGATTTTTTTTGTTTCACGGGCGCTGCAAAGGGGGTGAGTTGTATTTGTCCGTTGTTGGGAGGGGGTCGTATTTCCCTTCTGGCCCTCTGAAGAAGGTTGCCTGACTTTTCGTGATTTTTCCTGTTTCATGTGCTTCCCCCCCTCCTGCTCGACAGCTCGATGAGGAGGGAACTAAGGGGGG